TCTTCCGATCTTCCCTCCCCTGCCCGTTGCAAGCTGAACCCTGGCGGAAAGGTTCTGCTCGCAACCACCTGCCGCGCTATCTCGCCACCATCAGGGACCTCTGGCGCACTCAGGGGGATAGTGATACTGGGAGATTTTCGGACCGATCGCGGGCAGCGAATCTTCATGCCGCGAGGCTGCCTTTACCAGCTGCTGCAGCGCCAACCTCCCTGGAGATGAGGAGCCCGGAAGTCCCTGAAGCATGAACCGATTATGTAGCGTAGTAGAGTGACGCATCAAACCGGTCACGCGCTTTGTCAGGCTGCGGCAGCGAGCTCTGGAGGTAATGTCCGCGGAGGCCGCGACCATAGCGGGACAGCCGCCACTGCAGCGAGAGGATGTCTTCTTTCAGGCCAGTGGCTATGCAGCTCTTGCCGACATCCTGCGCCGGGATTTGGCTGCCTTGGCGGCTTCTTCGGGCGTCGAGGTCTCCTGCCATGTGGGAGCGCCTGAATGATGTTTCATATGTCTAGTGGATTTAGCGGGTCAATGCACCAGGCGCTGTTTTCTTATGTGCATACTGACCGTAAACGGTTGTTCAAGGACCGAGCCTCCTTTCAACACTTGGACGCTTTCCAGTGTTTTAAGGTTCCTGCTGATTCCTCCCTGCCGCACTTTGCTGTACGCTTGAACGACCTGGCAAACTTGGAGGAGGCACTGGAGGGCCAGAGGGGTGGGGCACATGGTAACGCCGCGCTCTTTGTTGCACCCAGCCGACAGGAAGAAGGTGCCTTGTCGAGATTTGGCGCAAGTCTTTCGGGCAGGATCACTCTTCGGCAGGTGCCAATTGAAATTGCAGAGCCTGTGCTGTAGTAGAAGCAAGATTGTTGTTTGTGATCAAATTGGCCCAGGCAGCTTTCAAAGATCAGCTATTCGATCACAGCAGCACAGGGCGAGCGTCGCTTGGTTGGCAACGGTTATGGTTTTCCAGAGAGCTGAAGAGTTTGTCCTGGTGCCTTGAGGCTGTTGAATCTGTGCTCAGGAACATCGGCGACCGTCATCCGACATCTCCAAACGGTAGCTTGTCCCAACTCCAGGAATGCGGTGTATATGGGTGTCATAAGGGACCGCAGCGTGATAGAAAGGCGGGAATGCCAGGCAACAGCAACAGCTACCGGGGTGCTCCCATCTTGACCAGAATTGAGAAGCCACAACTCATGGATGACACTTGCTGATGGTAGCTGGCGGAGATGCCAGGCCACCGGCAACGTCGGAGGAGGCACTTCTCGAAGCCGCGACTTGGCAGTGTGCAGGGCAGAAATGGCCACCCACTTTGCTGCTCTGTTCCGCTGCCCAGGATCTTGCAGCTGCGCTGGCTGCAGCTCAGCGCCTCCTCAAGCAGGATGTGAGCGAGGCGCTGGAAAGTTGTCATTCTGGAATTCTGGCAGCGTTGAGTCCGGAGTTTGCTTCAGGTGGTGAAGAACATGGAGTCCCCCAGAGTCGGCCCGGCAGAACCTCCGATGCAGCCTGACCAGCTGGCTCTGCAGCAAGGACGACAACCGCATGTTTGGGTCTTATCGTGTGCCGCTGAGAACAAAAGACCTCTTTCAGCATTCGAACACTTGGCAATGATGCGATCCGAGTATTGTTCAAGCTCGAAGCAAGACTTTTGTAGTCTTCTCTTGGTACAGGCTTCCCGCAAGCACCGGAAGACCATTTCCCTTGTGACAGCTTCTTTTCCGGAAGAGGACTCCTTCAGTTGGCACGTGGTCTGGATGCCAAAGCTCTTGTACATAGTGCCCGGGCTCAATAGTGTGGGATGCATGTCTTCGATGTGCCTAAGCAAGAAGCGCTTCGTGCTTCTGCAGCCTCAGGTGGTGACAAAGTTCCCGTGAACTTGGCCGTCAATCCAGACTACACGGTGAATGTTAAGGCCAAGACGTAACCCAGCGGAGAAGTGTCCGGCAAAAGTTGTTGGCGTCTCGTGGAGGTCGCTGGGGAGTCTCGTGCCTTCCAGTTGACCAGCATTGATGAGGCGCTCTTGTGTCGCATGCCAGCCGTGCGGGGGGCGGCCTGGCATCGCGTGAGATATTCGATGCTTTATGCATGCCGGTCTCCTGCGCTGACTCCTATCTAGAAGCTAGCTTTGACAAGGGTCTAAAGGAACAGGAAGAACAAGCATTCATTGCGGCATAGGTTTAACACTGCCTTCCAGGGCGGGGTTATCTTCAGTAGGCTGGGGTCAGGGGCCTGGAGTATGTTGCCAAGCACCCCCGTCTTCGCACCAACAGAAAAAGCAAAACGCACACCTTCCTGCACCAACAGCACAAAAGCACCACGCCGCACCAACAGCAAAAACCTCGTCTTCCTTCAGCTTCCCCTGCAGCGCAACTTGTTCCGTCCGCGAGCTAGATATGGAGGTGGCAAGACAAGAACGAAAGGCGGCTGTGTTGGCCTGGCCTAGCACAACAGGACGCCGTAAGCTTAAATCCCTCAGCTTCTGGCAAAGGGGATCCCGTAAAGGTGAAATCTCCCAAAAGAGATGGGCCTCGTGAAAGCAGGACCCAGCCAATTTTCAAGCAGCGGGAAGAAAACATACTGCCCCCACCCGGCGTGGTTTCACAGCAAGGAGTGGATTAGATGCGCGGCATGGAGCGCGGAGTACCGTGGCACAGGTTGCTTGCGGAGAGGCGGCGATGAGTGTGCTCCGCGGCTGTCTGAGCCGCCCTCCGCCGAGCCGGGTCTGTGCCTTGCGGCTGAGTGATGGCAAATGCTCCTTGGCAAAATTGCGATGCAGCCGCTTAAATTCAAAGCCGCTCTGCGCCATGCATGCCACGAGCAAAGATAAGGCTTAGCTCTCCTGCTGCCTTTGGAGGCTCGCTGGCCCAGCTGTAGCAATCTTGCAGCTGGAGCTTCCAAATTCCTTCTGAGCAAAACCTTTCTTCAGTTTCTTCAGTCAGCCAGTATTGTCCTTTAGATTGCAATGGACACCCCACACCGCACACGGCAGAGTTGAGGTTTGACAAGAAGGTCTAGTATAGCTGCGACGTGCCAGAAGGTTGCCGATGTGATTGCTCTGTGCAGGTCTCCCCAGAAGTTTTCGTTCGCTGTCTTCTTGAGCTCCGCGAGGGTGCTGGTGTTGCGAACAGAGGCGAAATGGGCGATAGGGGAGAGATCCTGTAGGAAGGCAGGCCGCCCCTTGCTTCTTCTAGATGCTTTTCAGGCAAGATGGTGACGCAGAGAAGCAGTGAAGGAGGCCTTCCGCGAAGCTGCGTGAAGTAGATCGGTATAGCTGCATGCACCCCCAGCTTTCAGAATGCCCGTGTCTGGTCATGTCCGAACCGCTGTCCGACGCAGGCACCATCTCAGTGTCAGAGGTGCTGAACACGCCCCGAGAGGCCGGAGATGATGACTTGTTTCGTACGGGTGGAATCGGACAAACTGACAAATATCTTGCCAGGACGCGATGCAGTTCATGGACAGGCTGGATGCTGGCAGGCACCCAGAGTACTGCAAGCAAACACTATTGTGGCATTGGGACAGCTGGCCTTGACGAGCCAGCGACGCTTCTGAACGGTGTTTTGCAAGTGTATCGGGACTTTACCGAATGGCCAGGCACAGCCCTGGCATTGAGGCCGTGCAGCCGCGGCCTGAGTTGCGGCCCGCAATAGGATATCCCAGAGTTGCTGAAGACCCTGCTTGTAGTACTGGGTGTTTTTCGTTTTGAAACAAGAGCCATCTGATTTTTCATGCTCGGGCTTCACCTAAACCTAAACCCATACGTCATCGCATCCGTATCTCCGTTTGGGGCTCAACGCGCTTGACTTAACGGTACTTAACGGTCAGTATTGCGACACCTGAATTGACTCGATCAGAGCAAGGCGGAACGGCATCTCAGTTGCCCGATATGTAACCACAGAAAGTAGCAGTGTTCAAAGTTGATTCATGGTCGTGTCCAGGCCTCGCGGTTCAGTGAATTCGCTGGCAGGCAATGCGGCAGCAAGTCCTACCGGATACAGCTTTCCGCTGATAGCTATTCTCGTTCGTGATAGTCTTACATCGAGCTGTCCCGGTTAAGTGGTATCTTGCACACTTGCACTAGAACGATTCAGTGTCTCATGACAGCGAGTCCTGTGAGGACTCAGGTGCAGTTCTGGCTTACTAGTGGCTTCCAAGGCATGGAACCCTATCCCCAATGAAACGTCGTATTTTTTCAGGCTTTGCAGGTTGATTGGTCGGCTTGTTCACAACCGTTTCCTGGCTGCAGTTTGCTCGTGAACTTCGGGCCAGGCAAGCAGGAGCTCGTATTACATCTTCACCCTAAAAAGCCCAATCTAGAGCTCAAAGCTTCGACATCTATCTTATTGTAGACCTCAGGTGATAAGCCACCCTCTCGAGGCCTCCTTGTCCTTGTCTGCCCTTCCCTTCCACTGCTGCTCCCAGTGCTGCTGCTGTTCTGCTGCTGAATTGCCTGTGCCGCCACTACTAATGCTGCTCCTCTTGCTAGTCGCTGGCAATGCCCCACGCTTTATCAGTTGACATGTTTGAGGTTCGAGCTTTATGGAGGAACCTCTGGCTGACACGCAAGAGTGGCCTGGCGGATTCTCAGTAAGGACTTGGACGTGCAAGACTGCCGATCCTCTAATGTTCAACAGCAATTTTGCGCAGTTGGCATTGTGTTTTTTATCAATGCACACCTAGCCTCAGGCATATGTCCTAGCAGCGCAAATCCCAGGCTGGGCCATCTGCACCCGTCGCTCGGGGCAGCACCCACAGCGACTCGCCATGGTGACTGCTTCTTCAATCCTCAGTCGACCAAGTCATCTCTCCTAGCCCGGCCATCCGCTCCATCAATGAGTGGACATGCAACAAGAAGATCTTGACGGGGCTCGAGAAGGATTTTTGCAGGTTGCCCAGGTCTCTGGCTCTGTGAAGCCGAGATAATGTCTGTGCCATGTTTGGTAGGCAAAGTTGAGACAAGTCAAGGATCTTCCGGAAACCTGACTGTCCACGTTTCCTTGTGCCCCTGCACGTTGCGACCAGGCAGTTTGCAACCCGACGGTCGCACAGTGCCAGCTGGCTTCTCCTCAGGCCAGGCGGTTCTGCAATGGCGATCGATATCGATCAGCCTGCCTGGTCTTCAAAAATGACATGCTTTTCCTCTACTGAGATACAGGCGAGGTCCCTGAGTCCACCTCCTACGGTGCATCTCGCGCAGACAGCGGCTGCTGCGCCCCTCACGGTACCGCATCGTCATGTTTTGGTTCAGTAGAATTCGTGCCGATTCCTTTGCGGCATCCTTCGGAGGTCTCCTTGCTGCAAAGCACCCAACAAGAGCCGTAGACTTTCCCCAGAGGGGACATGGACTTCTCAGAAATCGGTACAATTTCGACCTGGGCTGTCGAGACCAGCACGAAAACAGTGTTCCAAGTTCCAAGTGTTAAGGCGCGCCCATTGGGTCCGTTGCCGGCTCCCGTCCTTGCGCTGCCTTTCGGAGCTGGGCAGCCAGCTGCGGGACTGCAAGTGCAGACGCTTCCCACCCGCACTGTCGCTTCACGGCTGCACAGCGGCTACTATTTTCAGGTCCTATTTAGGTTCTCTGCACATGATCATGGGTCAATTGGTGCTGTTGCTTCTCACAAAGATTTCGATATTTAGGTGACGCAGAGCATGCCGGTGCAGATGCCGCCTGGCCAAAACGGAGAAAGTGCAGCTTGACAATGTAAGTAAGGGGTGAATTGCCCAGCAGAAGGAACATCTTTTCGGGAAGGAGGCGCAAGCGCAGTCCTCCAGCAGTCTGCCTTGAGATTCGGATTCCGGTCGATCATTTTGCCCATGGGCCATGGGGAAAGACATGGAATGACACCGTTGTTGCTTTTCAGTGAAAGGGCTCAAGACTAAAAAGGAGCTGTCAAGTTCAGAGCTGCCCGAATGACACAATGCACTTCAGTCACAGACCACGAAGAATACCAAGTGAATGTTTCTTTTCAGGCCATTGCTGGTCCCTATTCTGCTGACTGGAACGGAGGTAAGTTGTCAGCTGCTAGTACACATGTTGGTAAAGATGCAGGAAAGGCGACTGTGACGGCGATATTGGGGCTCTCGATGATGCTCTTACTCAGTGTTGGTACCTGAGTGCCTTCAAGCTAGATCGAGGTCGCAACGTGCAGCAAACGCCTGGACGCGCACAATTGTGTGACAGCCCTGGTTCGAAGACCTGCGCAGGGTGGATTTACTTCAGCTGTGCTGCTCTGCATCGATCGCAGATGCCAGGTTTCCGCCACGTCGGATGTCTGCGCCAGAGGCATCCCTGATCAGGACTCTGACAGGGCAGACTTCAATGTCGAGAGAGTTGTTGCTTATGCGAGTCCATCAGAGGACAATGCCTGGGGCCGCGCGCTTCCCTCAGCCCCGGCTGAGTCCGAGCAGCGTGCAGCTCTTTTTACCCTTCCGAGGCTGCCGATGTCCACGCTTCAGGGTGCTGCCTGAGCTTCGCGAAATGTAGAGTAGCCGCCAGTAGCCGCCAAGACAGCTCCAGGCTGCAGCTGTGGAGGTCTCCAAAGCGAGACTGACTGTACGTTGAAAAATGCAGATTGTGAAGCGACAGTTGGCCAATGTCACTTCTTCGGGGCCGCCGTCCATCAGGCCAAGCAGCAAAAACTTCAGCACAGACAGGGATTGTCAGTTTCTGTGGGCGCTTGGGTGTGCTGAGGCTGGGCCATTTCGAGGAGAAGGCCGGCTGTGTTGTGTTTCAGAGCTTACATGATCTTGGGAGTGACTCTGGGTTGGGAAAGTTTACGACTTCAACAACGGCGCATGCCCATGCTTTCACCTTCTTGAAAGGGTGTTTGGATGCATTGTCAGGCTCTCTTCGCTGACTTCGTCGAACGATCACAGCGTAGGGCCTTTGCAGAGCTCTTGCCGAATCCCCGAATGCAGAATAGCATGTGTGACCAACCTAACGCAGGTAGTGGTTATCAAAAGTCGTCAAGGCTGCGCGATCATATGTATACATGATATGTTTTCGAGATGCTGTGCTGCAGTGTCTGTTGAACGCAAGGCCGCTAAGAGATAGACGCAGATGCATTGAACTCAGGTCGAAGGCCCTGCAAGGAGTTTCGGGTTCGGCGGAGGTGGGATTCTTGTGCTTTTGCTTTGAGAGTCTGAAAGGAGCGCAACTTGTTGAGACAGAGAACAGGTCGGCCTGTGCGCACGTGGTGCGGAGCAGCGCTGCCGAGGGCCCATCGAGGAGGGATTCAAGCAGGAAGGCCACGTGAGGAATTGTCACAGGTTCACAATTGACGAATCACACCAGTAGAGGGGTAATCTATAGCGACGTAGTATATAACGACGCTCCGAATGATGAACACCCGAATGATGAACATCGTCGTTGTCATCATCAAGGCAGCCAGGCATCATCACCATATTAGTTCTCGACACTACTCAATCGTAAAACATGGTTGCCGCCTGCTACGGCTACTACTACTACTAC